TCAGTGAACAGTGACAACCAATCAACACATCAAGTCTTCGTCAACGAAGACACTTCTTTGCTTTATTATTTTTTTTTACGAAGGATTGGAGACTCAGATTTAAAACTATAACGATGGTGTATGATTGGTTTGAGTTTGACCTTCAAAGGTTATAAGTGTTTAGGTTAAAATCTAATGAGAAATAAAAATCACTGTGTGGCCACGGCAATTCAAATACAGTGAAGATTAATCGGCTCGTATAGCAGGTTGGATATATATCTACGTTAATAAAAAAAAGTCAGATTTTAATACAATATATTGTTGACATGTATTTATATAGTTCATTTATTTATATAAATAACTTATTAAATGATATAATATGCAATAATAAGTTGCAATTATTTGGCAAAGCTAATAAGCAGATCAATATAAGTCATGAGTTATATGTATCCATGCTTTTTATATAAATTTGCAGCACATTTTCTCGTTTCATATCCCAAAATCATGGCTACACCACTTCAAGTTTTTCTTGTTACCGTAATAATACTATCCCATACTCCATCATCACTATCTTCTTCCCCAGATGGCCATGGCTTAACTCGAGGCTCATCTCTATCTGTTGAAAATAAAGATGACACTTTAGTTTCGTCCAACGGCCTTTTTACAGCGGGTTTTCATCAAGTTGGAGAGAATGCTTATGGCTTTGCAGTGTGGTTCTCGGAGCAAGCCACATCTGGGAATCGCACCATCGTTTGGATGGCTAACCGAGATGCACCAGTTAACGGAAAGCACTCAAAGTTGTCTNAACATTTCCCAAAAACTCATTCCATACCAAAACAGACTTACGTCACCACGCTTGGTAGGAATATTTTATTTATTTTCAAAGAAATAAAATAACCATTTTTATGAATCAATAAATAAATAAATAAACAAATATTTAAAAACTTATAAAATTTTCAATAGAAAAATCATCCGGACAACAAGTCCGGTTAACTAATCCGGTCAACAACCATCCGGTTTACAACACTTGGACTAAAATCCACTTTGTCCGGACATCTAATCCGATCAACTCACCAAAAACTCTTTGAACGGTTTAACACTTGGAACAATATTCATATTTGTGCGGATATCAAATCCGGTCAACAATCCGTTCAAGTCTCACCTGGTTTTAAGACTAAACCGCTCACCACTCAACCGGTTTACCAACTCCGGTCAACAAACCGCTCAAGGTTTGTCCGGTTTAAAACTAATCCGGTCGCCAAGCCTTTCAAGGCATGTCCGGTTTATACCCTTATCCGATCAAACTTTGTCCGATTTAAATGCTTATCCGGTCAAGCTTCGTCCGGATAAACACTTAGACAAAAAAAATCATCAAAATTTCTTTTCAAATAAGAACAATACGAAATATGAATTCAAAACCAGTAAAAAACTTTTATGTAAAAAGTTTTAGAACCACTCACCTTTATAAAGCTTTTGACACCAAAATACTTGCAATCAATCTATGAAACCCAACTCTTGAATTCAACTTGAATCCTTTTGAAATCCAACACTTGAAATCTCTTTCTTCAAGCAAACCGGACAACACTTCCTTTTTAAAACTCTCTCAAATTCTCAAAATGGCAGACATCAAATGAAGAGGTTAAGCCTCCTTTTTATACTTTCCCAAAAGGAAAAGTCGGCTAAACCTTCACACACACACATGCATATCCACATGCACTTATGCACATATATATATATATATATTTACACAAAATATATATATATTTAATTAATTCGCAAATTCTCATACCAACACATATCAATTATCATACTATCACGTAACCAAAAAGTCAAATAATCACGTATTAAATACCTTGGGTAATAACCAGGATCTGGTTATCACATATATACATATATATATATATATATAGGTGGATGTTCAAACGAGAACCCCTGTGATTTACGAGAACGCGAGAACAACCTAATAACCTCAAACTTTTTTAATTAATAAATTAACTTTTATTATCTATAAATAATTTAATAAGGGTAGTAATGTAATTAAGTAATTTTTATAATTTTTATTTTATTTTAATTAACCATAATTATCCTATCACGTTTCCACGTTTTACTCTTGTTAGTTTTCTTCTTCTCCATGTCGTTCATGCTTCTTCTCCATATCATATCCATATCACATGATTATCACACCCATATCACATGA